AGAAAGTTACATTTCATATTCAGAATTTCCATTTTTAATTCAGAAGTTTACAATTTAAGTTCAGAAAGTTACAATTCCATTTCAAATTCAGAAACTTTCATTTCAAATTCAGAAAGTTATAATTGAAGTTCAGAAATTTCTAATTTAAGTTAAGAAAATGTATATTTACTGTGCGAAGTAAAGAATTTTTAGAAGCGACTGTGTCACAAAGTTTTCAATTCAATTTTATTTGGTATACTATGTAGCACGTTTCAGCCGCTACTTGAGATTTGCCGAATTTGAAAATTCTCAAGTAAAAGTAAACAACGCCTTAGAAACTTTAGATGCACTGAAGTTTGCTAATACTATCACAAAAATCGCCGTTTTTTTTAACATTTTCGCCATTAATTCTTTTTATAAATCATATATTTTACAATTTAGTACAATAAAACCACGGTGGTCGGACCATATATACTCGTCTACCAAAGGTATCGGCAAAATTTTTCTTGGAGTTATTTCTTTTCCAAGTAGTATGCGTTCTAAATATGAAAAAATCGGTCTATAAATACGGATTTTTCAAATATCTCGACTCCTGCGCCACCTATCGGATTAACTCATATTTTGTATTGCATTGTCATCGGGTTCTGAGCCAACCGTTAAGTTTCAAGTCTCTAGGTCATCGGGAAGTTGGTAAAAAATTGATTGCAAAATTTGCCCCTAGCAATCATACGCAAGTTAAATTAAAACTTGTAAAAATACAAGTCCAATTATGAAAATTTAATTATGATTTTTATCACAAAGATCATAGCCGTTACGGTCCTTGGTTAAACTGACTCTCGTTGTTTGGGAAGACTTTTTCTTCCAATGCAAATTTAAAATAAAAAGTTGTCTGAATTTAATTTGATATTTTCTGAACTTAAATTGTAAATTTCTAAATTTGAATTGGAAATTTCTGAACTTCAATTGTAACTTTCTGAATTAGAAATGAAAGTTTCTGAATTAGAAATGGAAATTCTGAATATGAATTGTAACTTTCTGAATTTGAACTGGAAATTCTGAATTTGAATTGTAATTTTCTGAATTTGAAATAGAAATTCTGAATATGAATTGTAATTTTCTGAATTTGAAATGGAAATTCTGAATTTGAAATGGAAATTTTGAACTTTAATTGTAACTTTCTGAATTTAAATTGCAACTTTCTGAACTAAAACTGAAAAAGGTGTAGTCCTCTTTTTGACAGTGTGGCTTAGAAGATGATCTATGGTTTCCCTGGTACCGCTGACGACATTTCCTGCAACTATCCACGTTTATATATGAGAAGACACCAGGATATGCCCCGTAAGCTACCCGGTAACAACTCTGCAATGCCTTCTGTATAGCTGTAACAATATGCAGATGGTTAACTCATTCCATCTAGCCCTCAACTGCCTCTTAATACTGTCCTCAATTTCGTTGTACAAGTGTTGGAGTAGTCTACGAATGTCTTTTGTCTCTTCGAGAGCCTTGTATAGGCTTCCCGGCTGCAAAGGACGTTTTTGGATGAAATAATACATCAAACTGCCTAATTGATTGTCGTTTCTGTATAGGCTAGCTCTGCTGCCATCCTTCTAGCGAAATATGCTGAACTGGACAGGTAACCTTACTGCCCACCTGACATTAAGTCCCCAGCAGTATACTCTGGCACCCACTCTCGTTACCATCTCGTTAGAGATCTACAGCTAAATTTCATTGCCTTGCTCCAACCCTCCTTCTTAATCGTTGTGTGAAACCTTTGCTCCCAATTAAAGAAACGTAAGTATCATAGACTTTTCCTTGTATTTACGAAAAAACTGCCCCCATCTGTCTTACGCTTGTCTTCGTTAAACATTTCGACATAATGCTACCATAAATAAAAGAATGGGAAGATACGGGGTTTACCAAATGCTTCGAATCATCTCTAATTTAGCATAGACTATCAGATTGGGCCAGTTGTTTTTTAGTGCTGACGTCTTTTCTATCAAAAGGTAGAGGTAAACTAGTTTTAGCCGCTAAAAAACCCCGGACAACCTTTGATATTTTCTCAGCTAGCCATATTTTTGAAATGGTTTGGCATCTTTCGCGTATTTCGGGGCTTCTCAATTCCAAAAGTTACTAATATTTTTTCCTTTCTATTATACTCTCAAAAAGCATACCTACTCGGTACGGTAAGTGCATTCGTCTCGCATTTAATATTAATTGTTTTATGAAGATTACTGTAAATTTAATTAAGTAAATATCAATGACCGTTGTTTTTACATATTTCGGTTACTTTCGAAGATATGCAATAAAAAAATGTGTGCAAAATAAATTCAGTTTGTTTACACTTGAGTGCCTGTTATTAATACAAATTTATACAACTGTTTCAAGGGAGCAAATATTTAAGAGGTTAGTCTGGTTCACGTCCAGCTTATATGTATACTGCCTCATGGAACGTTGTAGAAACTTCAGTTTCTGACTCAGATAAAAAGAAAATATGTATTTCTGACTTTTGCTTGTTTGATAAGCATTTCGCTTTAACATATGAATAAATATTTAAAATTCCAAGTGCTCCAGGCATACATATTGAATTAGCGAATTAAGCAATTAATTTAGATATTTTAAATTTTTTCTCAAAATTTGCCTATGTCCATAATAAAATTTATGTGAAAAAGTATATTAGTTTTCTATTTTAACTTTGAAAAATAAAAATAAAATAAAATAAAAATGGAGAAAATACCACCTATGATGCATTCTTCATCAACTCCCTGTCTCCAAAATTGGTTCGGGTCATAAAAATCGGTTATATTTTTGAAAGTTCGGTAAAAAAGTTTACCTTTAAATGAAGAGTGGCATTTTTGAAATACAATATGGGGGAAACGTTTTTAAAAATTTATTGAATTCGCTGGAAACTTGTACTTGGAAGTTTTTGGAGTCGCTGATTATGAACCTGGCCATAAATTCTTTAAATTCAAAATGGTGGATCCAAGATGACGGAAAAATGTTTAAAAACTTATTTAATTCGCAATATTAGAACCGCCATTTTTAAATTTAAAAATGTAGGATCGAATCAAATTCGTGATCAGTGACTCGCAAGAAGCTCAGAGTGTAACAATATTTAAAGTGAATCCAATAATATTTCAAAACTATGTCCGCCATATTGGATTTCAGAAACGCCACTCATCATTTAAAAGTAAATATTTTGTACCGAATTTTCAAGACTCTAACCGCGGGGCTTTATTTGATGAAGAGTGCCCCATATATCTATATTTTTTAGAATTGTGTTTATGCATTGACGCTCAAACCGAGATCTGACCCATATAAAAAGCTTCCGAAAACGTTAGCTTTTCCCTTGAGATACGAAATTGCACGATTTTGAGTTCGATCTATTGTTTAATAATTCACAACTACTACTGGTTTAATGGATCTTCCATCTTAAGAATATATAATAACAATAATGTTTTGCGGTTTACACTTCTCGAAAAAATAACTATTCTATCAGAACTGAGGAAGGCCTCCATCACAGAATATGTGACCAGAGCCACTTCCCCAGGGGAGTGTGGCCTTACCGTCAATCCTGCCATGACCGTAATAGTACTTTTCACGAGGATGTGTAAAATTCCTCAATTCAAATTTCCCATTTTAAACGCGGTAAAACTTACTCTCTCAACCGAAGTCAAATACCTTTGAAAAGAAACTTGACTGGGAGCGAAATATCGGAGGGCGCTCCAGGAAGGTCAATACCACCCTGCATGCCTGTAAGACAGCTATAGACGAAAAATGGGTCATACAACCTCATACACGTGTATGTACTATACATGTAAGTAAACAGCGGCGGTAAGAGCCATCCTCTTTCACGAGGTCACCATATGGTGGCCTGCGCTAAATAAGACGTTGCCCAGAGCCAAGGTGGAACGGGTACAGAGGACGGCTTTCCATCTCGCCGCGGGAGCACTACCCGCTACATCCACCAAATCTCTGGAAATACTCTTAAACCTTAAAACGGTGGATCTCTGCGCAAATTTCGGGCCGGCTGTGGTGCGACCAGTTTAAATACGGTCAAGTCTTGGAGAGACCTGAAATTCGGACACGCAAAGGTTTTTCAAACTCAATCGGATAATCTACGACAGCTATATTATTCCAGTTCTCTACACTGTGGGAAGGTGCCACAGTCTTAAGAAAAGATAGTTCCAAACTTAACGAAAGAGTGGGTAGCACGATTTACTCTGGTTAGCTCGCACTAACTTTCTGTTGAAAATATTTGGCAGGCATATTTAACTTTTCACGCGAATCGGATCGAATTTAGTTTTTTGACCGCCATATTGGGCTCGCCATTATGAATTTTTTAAAATCATGCGTTCGTAATCAGAGACCTTAAAAATACAATAACCTGATGTTAGTTTTTCCTTTTTAGTGTTATGTTCTCCAGTGGCACAAAAGTTGTAACGCAAAATCTAATTTGCGGTTAGTTTAGACGCCATATTTGGGGCGCCATGTTGAATTTTTGAAAAGGCCACACTGGTTTCAATGGGGGGCGCCTACTACTGGTACTGGTTGACGCTTTAGGGAAATTAATTTTACGTCGCTTCGCGTCGTACAAAAAAAAAATTTTACGTATAAAAGTTGTGAAGCATGAATTTCTCTACAAGTTTGGAATTTCAATATGCTATGTATTTCCAACAGAAATTGTCGAAAAATGGCGAAAACCGCGACAAAGTAAAATTTTTTCGCAGTTTTTGCTAATTATTCATACTCTATATAACAAACGTGGAAAATTATTTCTCTACAAATTTGTTTTTAACCATTTTTACGAAAATGCAAAATAAGCTTGCTAATCGCAATAAACAAAAAAAAAAACTAAAGTCCAAAATGCCGGAATGTTGCCAAATGAAATTTAGGGGCAAGATTGTGGATCCATGATCTACGTGCATCAAAACTGCATCAAAAAATCGCTGTTAAATTTTTTTTTTTTTTGAGGAAGTCTAATTTTACTGTGCTAATGTTAAACAACATAAAAGCAGTGCCACTTATCGGGAATTTTTTTCTTTATTTGACTTCTATTTGATAAATTGTGTTAAGCATTTCTAGCAAAATTTCGCTCGGTACCGCATCTGAAGTTTGTTGAATACGTGCTTTGATGCCGTTGTATGTTTCTTCCTCGTATTTGGCGTAGACCCTAGGTAGGTTTAGATCTTCATAAAGTTGCTTGACACGCGCCACCTTTTGTGGATCTGACAAAAAAAAAAACAAAATGTATTTATAAGAAAATAAAAAATATACTTGATTAAATGCATGCACTGCACCTACCACT